TTTTAACAATTTTCAAAAATCATGTTTTTTCATTGTGCATTCCAATTAATCTTAATCAAACTGCAGTTGGTTTATTTTGATCAGGTAAAAAATAACTAAAAAAATACTAGCTAACTAACACAATAAAAACATGGTAATATAATAAAAAACAATTTTTGAAAAATTTTAAATACGGAGTTATCTGTTTTTGCAAATAAACTCTTCATATATTGTATTTCAAGTGCCCACGATAACAATATCGCGCATATCCATTACCGTGATATATCGCATTACTGAATACCGGCACAAGTCTAATGTATTGTATTTTTATGAAATGTTGTTATAAGTGATATACTAAAATAAAAGAAAAAATATGTATGGAATGAAAAAATAATAATAATTTGCTACAGAAATATTTTTATAATAAGAAATAAAAAAATAGATATTTGAATAATAATTAACATTCCAAAATTAAAGTAAATATATATTATAGCTGAATTTTAGAGTATTTATATTCCAAATATTTATTAATAAATATTTGTAAATGTATTATATGTTATATATTGTAAATATGAAGAGTTCATTTGCAAAAACAGATAACTCCATTTTTAACAGTTTTCAAAAATCATGTTTTTTCATTGTGCATTCCAATTAATCTTAATCAAACTGCAGTTGGTTTATTTTGATCAGGTAAAAAATAACTAAAAAAATACTAGCTAACTAACACAATAAAAAGATGGTAATATAATAAAAAACATAATTTTTGAAAAATTTTAAATACGGAGTTTTCTGTTTTTGCAAATAAACTCTTCATATATTGTATTTCAACAACTGACTGCTTCTTTTGACATTAGGGGGTGTGACGGAGTGTTTAAAGACTGCATACTCCTGTTTTATGAAGGCATGTAACAGCAAAGGGAAGAAGTCAGTGGATGCTTGTCACAACATAGCTCTGCTTGCCCATGACGGGCGAGCCATGGAGGGCGGAGTAGATGCGAAGGTGGCTCAGCAGTACTACGAGAAGGCTTGTGAGGGAGGCTTCGCCCCCAGCTGTTTCAACCTGAGCACTCTTTTAATCCAGGGATCTCCAGGGCTGGACAAAAACATGCCGCTGGCTCTAAAGTACGCCCTGCGAGCCTGCGAGCTGGGACACGTATGGGGCTGCGCCAATGCCAGTCGCATGTACAAACTGGGTGATGGGACAGATAAGGATGATCAGAAAGCAGAGGAGCTGAAGAACAAGGCCAGAGAACTCCACGGACAGCAGAAAGAACGCCAACTAAAATTTGGGGAGTGAGATATCATGCATAACAGTTCACTTTTCCCCAAACTCCTGTTTTGATATCACTGCTATAAACACAGCATAAATTATTTTAATAAATGTGTTCTGTGACACTTTTTTGTTATAACTGTGATGATTTATGTCTGAGAGTGATGGTGTTAATATAAGCCATCTACAGAAACTGTTATAGATAACTTAGACTGTGAGAGTTAGCACAGACTTATTATTAAAGTTTAATTAAATTAATATTCTCTAATGGTCTGAATTAGGATCGAAACCGTGTAACTCTAGATTTCATGTATTTTTCCAGGTGCTGTGCGTAAAACGACCACTAGATAGAAGCATACTCAAGTTAAATTGAATCCGCACACACACATTTGAGGTTTTCTGGCGAACTGCTTCTTATTACTATGGTCAACAGATTGCAGTGAACATTTATTTATTCATTGAGACAGACTTTAATATTTTGATGTTTCAAAATGTCCACTTCATTCACTTAGGTTTGCTAAACGTAAATGACATACTGTATATAAAATGGCTTTGAATTCTTGAAACTTTTCACTTTTTCATTTTTAGTTTTCCCCTCATTGCCTCTGTTTAACACTAACATAGATAGATAGATATATAGATGGATAGATTTTTTAAATATGATTTTCAGATGTCCCATGTCTATAACGCCACATGGTCTGATGGTGACCTCTATGATCCCAGTGTGAAGAGGTCAGTAGCTGCTATTAGTGTTGGGAAACAATAATTTTCCATTTAAATACCGGAACCAAATGATTGTAATGATGCTCAGCTCTGTTTACTGTTCTTGAACCCACATTCTAACGCCAATCTAAACAGAACACCATTTATTGAGCCGGTACTTTCAAATTAATCTTCTGAAACAGCAACCAGTGTAATCTGATTCACAAACAAATGACTCGTAGGAACCGGTTCTTTTCAGTGAATCAAAATCACAGCGCGACCACTGCAGTCTGATATCTGAACGAATGACTCTTACAAACGGTCCTTTTAGTGAATCAAAAACGCACAGCGAGTCTAGTTCCCAAACGAATGATTCTTATGAACCCGTTCTTTTTAGTGAATCAACAATTTTTTTCAGTAGCCTAAACAGTAAGGTAGTAAATTATGAAGCAAAACATAAGAAAAATATACAACAAGAATATACACAGACACAGGCGTATTGCCAGGGTAACAAAAAACAACAATGTTGTAATACATTTATAACTTAAGTGAATCAACAAGACAACAACATATGCGCTAATGCTAATGCGCGACCCGCGTAGTCTGATTTTCGAGCAAATGACTCTTATGAACCGTTTTTTTCCCAGTGAATCAAAAGCATATAAAGTGCAAACAGTGTAGTCTGCTTCCCAGACCAATAACCCAGTTCATTCATCTAAGTGAATCAGAAACATACAGCGTGACCTGACTTCAGAACAAGTTTAGTGAAACAAACTTTTAACGAAAGACTCACTTACTAAACCGCAATTTATTATTTTCGTCATGTCCGACTCGACATGAACCCGAATGGTTTGTCACACATGAGTTTTAACCAGTGGTAGTATTGTATAAAATGAACGAACTGAATTAATGTTAGGCTACTACATGTTTGTTCAATATTTTTATTACATTTATCAGTGAACACATTATTGCTGCGGAGGTCTGAAATCTAAATTAAAGCATTTGGCAACAAACTCCTGAGGGCAGAATATACAATAAAATTGCATCAAAATTTCCCAAAAATGTCTTCCTTAAAAGTACTAAAAGATGATTCCCAGAAGTAATACATGATGCTCCGGCATTCTTCACCTCCAATGTCACTGCAGCAGCAGCAGCAGACTGAAACCACGCCCTTTCTCAGCATCAGATTAAGCCAGTAGCCCCGCCCACATTCGCTCTCCTCCAATAACATTGCAGCAGGATCAGACTGAGCACGTAGCCTCGCCCCCTGTCGAATCAACGGACACACACTAGGCTCACTCACGGACACTTGCCGCTCCTGCTGGAACATCACAGGCGCTCGGCTGTTGTTGTTTTATGTTGTTTATATTAGTTTGCTGGACCGTCGCGTGCTGCACGGAGTAACGGTCGCAGCATCCCCGCGCGCGCAGGAGTTGAGCACGGATCGTGAAGCGGTGAGTTTGACGCTGTTTAACGTAACGTTAGTCGCTTGTGATGCGCAGTGTGCTGTTATGAGCGAGATGTTAGCTAACAGGCTACAGCAGCAGCAGCAGCAGCACGCCTATGGTGAGATTAATAGCGACTAGAGCCGCTCTGACCGGCGACATGCTGTTAACAGACTGAAGATGCGACTGTTTAGGGGGGAATTCATGTGCATGTGTGTGTCATGCGCTGGCTGCGTGTAGTTGGACGACTTTTGCGTGATCAACGCGCGGTTCTGATGATAATAAACTAGGCTTTTGCTGCTGGCGTGTACGTGTGTGTGTATTCATCTGCAGGATTAAGTTTATTCTCGTGGTTGATGCAAGTGGATCAATGCAGGATAACGGCTGTTTGTCTGAAGGGGTTTCATGTGCCCCCCACCCCAGTTTGAATCGGGGTGTGTCTCACTCACACACACACACATACACACACACACACACACACACACACACACACTCGCGCAAACGGAGGTTAATTTGACACTTCTGAACAACCTACTTTCTTTCGAAATGTACCATATTTTCTGCCAAAATACAATAGTTACCACATTTACTACTGTAGAAGTGGCATTGGTCACTGCTGTCATTACAAAAAAGATATTAAACAAAATTCTGGCACCGTTTGAAAGAGCTCCCATATTAATGTCTTATGATTTCACAGTAGGATAACTGTAGTACATATTGTGTTTTGGTTGTTAACTATGTTATCATAGGCAATTTTAATGGAATATATGTTTACAAAAACAGTTCTTGTGTGTTTTTACACATCTCAAAACAAACCGAAAGCGATTTTTTTTGTGTGTGAATCAAAATCAAATCAGTTATTATTGAACATTTAAGCTGTATTTATATATTGACCTTTATTATTATTATTTTTATTATTCGATTCCGATTCACTAGCTAGATTCAATTCGTTTGGATATTAGTCTGGTACAGTATGTGACTTTTTTCTAAAAGAAAACAAACACTCAAATAATGCTCAGGGAACCCTGTGTGTTGGTATGTTACTGTAATATTAAAGGCTAAATTTAACAAAAGAGTCAAAACTATTTAATATAATTGCTGTTTGTTTTAGATGTAATAATTAACACTCAAAAACTGAGTTGTTTACAAACATTAAATGGACAGAATTTGAAAGTGTTTGATACTTTTTCATATGAAAAGTAACAAGGGCTTATTGTAATTATTGAATGGGAGGCACACTCCAAATAATGGTTGATGAAGTTTTGTTCAGGCATCAACAGAAAACATCAAAATGGAGATTGAATTGAGTCATCTATATTGTCAACCCATTATAAATGTGTTCCAAAGTCATCAATTATGATGCCCAATATGCCAGTATGCAAGCAGACTATGTTCTGAGCCACAATGCATGTTTATACTGACCGTGAAAGTTGCTGGTCAATAGCATTGAATCCATTCAGAGTCTTTCTGCAGTAAACTCTAGTAAACTAGAAGACATTAATTATTTCTGCCTCAGCACTTATTGATCATATATGGAAATGGGACAGCCTTTCAGGATCCTTCTGTCTGAATAGAGCACAGTTATGTGATGAAATCACCCTAAATCAAAGTCATGTTAAGTAGCCTGATACTGTAATGTTCAAAAGAGGAAACTAGCCACAACTCTGATAACCGGGCAGTCAAGTTTTCTGAGGATTATGATATGCTCGTGATATGTTGGCTTATGACTAACTATGACTCATAATCAAATGTGTCAGTACAGGTTGGTTCATGATGCATTTTGAACCTTGAATTGTTCTCTCTGAAGAACAGAATGAACTTCTGTTTATGGTTGAGGTTCTTCATGCATATTGTAAAATACATAATTGACAGATGTTTTCTCTGTTAAAACACTATGATACTGTCAAAAATGGCACATTACGGGTCCGTTTACATGAAAACAGTGTACTAAAAATGGTGTTTTTGAAAAGTTTCGTGTACAGATGACAACGATCACACGGATCTGCTAAAATGACTAAAAACGCTGTATTGTGCATGCCAGGCCAGTAAAGTTTGTGTTTTCAGGCCCCCAAAATGCCATCGTTGTGTAATTGAAAGGCCAAAACGTATAAAAAGTTGTCTGTTTATAGCCTAGTTGAAAACAATAGCAAATCATAGTGCAGTTTTATGTTGCATTCTCAGCGTCGCCACTAGGGGCCCTGTCACAATTATTAGTGTTAAATTGTTCTTTTACTGTCAGTTTTTTCATTATGGTGGAGCAATAATTCGAGAGTATCACGGCACATTTGCGTGCTTTCCATTGAACATAAACAAGGCGCAGCGCATGTGTGTTCTACATCAGCAGCACCACTCGCATGCGTTGTTTACGTTCAGAGGAAAGCATGCACATGCGTCATGATACCAGAGATTGTCTTACTATTGGGAGATGAGAGGGTCTGTATTACTTGCTATTGGAGAAAGCGTAACTCTCAACTTGGATCATGTGTGCCTTTATAACCAATCACATTTTAGTTTTTTTTGCGCCCAAAAAGTATTCTCGTAGCTTCATAAAATTACTATTGAACAACTGATGCCACATGGAACATTTTGTCGATGTTCTTGGTAGGGCTGTGACGGTGGCAGATTTTTACCACCGCGGTGGTAATGGACCAACTACTGCCGGTGGCGCGGTGTTGATATAAAAAAAAATATATATCTATATATATATATTTAATATATATATGATTTATCTCGATTTAACTCGTCAGCTCGTATTTATTTTAGCACTTCAGTCAGTGAATATGCAGCCTGCAAAACACTAAAATAAATATCAAAGAAATAATACAGTTAAACAAGAAAGTAGCCTAAATAAGAAAGTTAAATACACCCTGTCTACAGGACACGGTGCGACAAAATACTATAAAACTCATTATAATCAGTGATGCTACACTGGATGACACGACATGACAAATCCCCAACAGTACACTGCCTCGTCCTATTTATGAGGTACTGACACAGAGTTCAAATGTCCTGCGTAGACACTAGACAGACTCAACCTGTTGCGACGCGGCGGTGTCCCGTCCGGTGTAGACACGGTTCACTGTTCCGCTACTGTTATTACACTTGTATACAAAACTTCGTATTATGCTTGTTATAGAGTGCGTGACGTCACGTGCACTACCGCCGGTGGCAGTAGACAACGGCGGTGATGCGGTTGTCACGGCGACCGTCATAGCCCTAGTTCTTGGTACCTTTCTGGACCTTGAACGTGGTAGGACCCTCGCTGTCTATGGAGGGTCAGAAAGCTCTTGGATTTCATCAAAAATATCTTAATTTGTGTTCCAAAGATGAACGAAGGTCTTACAGGTTTGGAACGACATGAGGGTGAGTAATTAATGACAGAATTTTCATTTTGGGGTGAACTATCCCTTTAAAGGGACAGAAAACTTAATTGGAGTAAAGATCAGAACATTACTGTGCTTTGGTGTGGATGCTAATCTAGTTATTGTTATTGTTAAAGCTCTTAGCGTGAACTGAGTGACCTTTGCCTTCTCGAGCACTGAGGTTGTTGTCACTACAAGAATGCACGCAAAGTAGGTATAATTTGACCATGTGTTTGCATTGAGTTGGCCAAGCATTTGCACACCTGTGTAGAGTATTTCTGGCCTAAAGGAGAAGTATCAATGTGTTCGAGTCGCTCTGTTAATCAGATCACAGCTGTATGCAAAGGTTCAATTTCCTTTGTTAAATGTAGCTTTTGGTTTTATGGGCCTCTGATGAGTATTATCAGTGTTATTGCATTGTCTGTCAGGATTGTTTATAGTTGAAGCCAGCATCTGGCATTGCTTTAATCCCCATAAACACTCTCGCTTCATCACTCTCTTGCTTTCCCTCTCTCTTTCTGTCTGTCTGAGCGCTTCCTGTCTACATAAGAAAGCTTTGTCCTTTTCAAACTACTGCAAGGCAGATCCTGGTGTTGCTTAGAGCTGAAACACTGCTCCAGTGCAGCTGTTTCTTAGATGGCTGCACAGGTGGGATTCCTTTCTCTTTGTTTTTGTTGATCTCTGCCTTCCTTTCTGACTTCACTGTGTTTTTAGGTCTGTACTATCCTGAACTCATTGCAGTGGAAGAGAGTTTTGTAGGGATGCACAATATATTACGATGGTTATCAGCCATTGTTATCATTATTTATTTATTAAAATTATTATTATATAAATATTTTATTGGTTTATTTTAATGGTATTTTTTTGTATCAGTCGGTATAGAATATTTGAGTTTTTGATTAGTTCTAGATTCGTTCTACTAGGCCTGGGCGATAAAACGGTATCGATGTTTATCGCCGGTACACCTTCTTTGATAACGATATAAAAATGTTTCGATATAGTCATGTGCTATGAGTGACGCAGAGACTGCTGCACTCTCGTCTCACACAAGAGATGTGTGTGACGTTTAAAATGTGCTGCATTATTTTGGTCATTGCGCCCTCCTGTGGCCTCGGGAGACAAGACAAAAGTTTAACCTATTTAATCTGCATATAAAACATTAGAAATTAGATATTTGTTTAATTTTAATTTTGTTTTTGACTGTTAAAACAAAAAAATATTTGTTGTTTGTCTCAATAAATTGAGTTAATTTAAAAATACAGTGGTTAAATGTAAACATTTTTTTCTATTGCTCTTTGTTTTAAAAACGGTTATAAAAAATGTCAGTAATTATCAATACCGAACGATATGAAACATTATATCATTGATACATTTTTTTGCTATATCGCCCAGCCCTACGTTCTACCATTATTTAGCACTAATTAAAACAAATTATTTCAACAGTTTATTTATAAACAGCCTTGTGAATATTTCATACTTTACATTATAATGTAATGTTAATAAAGCCTAGATTGACTTTATCACAACTTCAGTATGGCATTCCCAAATGTGAAAGATTTGAGTTTGTTAAATTAAATTAAAATTAAATTAATTAAAACATTTTTTAAATTAATTTTCTTCATTTAAGTAGTGTGAGAGCGCAATGAT